AAAAAGTGGTTGCATCGAGCAGAAAGATTATAGACGTCAAGCAGGAAATTCAGAAGGTTGAACAACAACAAAAATACAAGAGAGCAAAAAGACGGGCAGATCCCACGTATATATACGCTCTAGCACGAGAAACGAAGCGTCGTTAGGCATTCAAGTACCTAGCCCGTAGCCTCCTTAGGGTGACACGTGGTGACCCTCAGCCTTCCCTACGTCTCTTCAGGTTTCCCCTCCTCGTTCGCGGGCCTCCTCGTACATCATAGGCTCGCCCGACCAATACAGCCACGGACTGAACGACGAAGCGACATGCTCGACACTTCTGCACCTTGAGTCGTAACTTGTCTAACCGCGAACAACGACTTGAGGGGATACTGTTCTAGACTGGGCCGACACTTGGCCCATAGTCGAGCAAGCCCAAACCCCATCAGGTTGGAAGGCCCAATAAGACCTGAACCGCCTCCTCATCGGACAACTACCTTTCTCCCGTTGGGCATAACATCTTCTCCCGTCGGGCACAGACCTATGTCAGCCGGGCAGGCTCCTCACATCTACCCGGCGCGCTCTCCCTTCTTCCCCACTGTCGAGCAGAACCCATCCAGCTCGGGGAGCTCTTCTGACCTCCCCCACGCTTTCAACGTGTCCCCTACGCGGAGACACGTCATCAGGTAACTACCCGTGCCCTAATTATTCGGTCCTCCACCTCCCGAATAGCACGGAGCAGTTACACTAGGGCAAAGACCACATGCTGGTATTCCTGACACCACATCAGCCCTAACAGTTACCAGCATTGGGCCTGGCAACCCAACCCAATACTAAGTAACCGTTGGCCCTGCGTTGGGGGCATACTATAAATACCCTTTTTCACTAGAGGGTCAGGTAATCTCATTCTTACTTCTCTCTTTGTACTTGTTATCACTCTGCCTGTCTCTTACTTTGGCATCAGAGTGTATTTTAGGTACACTCCCCTCCATTCTTCCAGCAGTCAGACAGCTCAGACGCGTGGCCCTCCAGTGACTCCTTCTGATCAGGTACGATCAATTGGGAATTAGTGAATCAAATGATTCAAAATCAGCAAAACAAGACACATACATCATTGGTTGCACTATCACAACATTAGAACATAAACTCAAAGATAGTAGTCTATATTCATAACTGATGGGAAATACATCTTAACCAAGATTGAACTTTACTTATCACGAAGTCGTACGAGTAGAGAAAACAGATCCATATAGCTCCAAATGAAACTTTCAACTAAGCGGTCTCCATCCTATTTTGAACACATTGACTCACTTTATCTAGATTATCCAATTTCACAATCCAAAAAAAGTTTATTAAAGGTGCTCACATCAACAAACCACCGCCTTCGCCACCTTTACCGAAATTGATAAACATTTAAGAGATGTATATTTTAATGCACAAACACATTGAACGAATTATAAATGTTAAAGGTGATTATAATTATGGTTATCCTGCTGTTTCAGCTAGGCTAAGTAAGGGAGTGAAGAATCATAGACTTGTCCGCCGACATCTTATCAAAGATTTGAAGGCACACAAGGAATCATACACGAGGCTATGCTGCAAAAAAAGAACAATATGATGAAAATCACGATTCTCTTATTCTTTGTCTTAACGGTGCAACATCATAGTAAAAATGGGTGAGTTTCCCTAAAATGGGTCATCTTATAACAAATGCATGTAAGCTATTGTGTATTTATCTAACAAGATATGTCTTCTCATAGACATTTTTCCGACTTCGAAGACGCTTACCTCAAAATCCAACTTGACGCATTATGTGTATTTGATGACTTTCAAAATTACAATATTTTGTTCAAGTTTATTTGTAACTAGGACGTCCTATACCATAAACATCCCTTGAATGGGCATCTCATTCCACACTGAAACTTGACCGAATACTTTTTTTGGTAGGATGTGAGAGTTTTCCAAGTTGAGCGATACTAAAAAATCAAAGGCGGAACAACTCATAGATTTAGGTGGTGACACCGACACATGTTTGGATACATTTTAGTTTTTATCTTACAATGCATTTAGGTGGTGACCCTTTTTTGGATGTAACGTTAGTTAGTTATTTTTGATGGATGTATTCCGGATATATTTTGACATGTTTTAATGTATAATATTAGAATTAAATTTTTGATGTGTCTATATGCAATAAATCAAGTCCATAAAACAAGTATTGTCAACTGGTCTAGTGTGATACTAACATGGGAGAATTCGTATTCCAATTTGCGGACGAACCCTATATTATGTGCATATGTGATGCTAATAAGGTTGAATTCAGATTCCAATCTTAGAATAAACCTTATATTCTGTGTATAGTTGATGCTAACATGGGAGAATCTATATTTCAATATCTGGATACACCTTATGTGTATTCTCTATATATGACAAAAAAAGGAGTGAATTTAGGTTTCAATATCTGAACCAACCCCTGAGACAGGATTGCATTTGTATGGTCCAAATGATCTAAAACTTATATAAATAGAGCTCATATGTTGTTAACCAGACAATCTAAAGTAAATCAATATTGATATATTGCATTTGTTTATGTTATTACATATGGCTGACAATATTTTGTAGGCAACATATTAAGTAATATATTTTATCAAAATGAAAGACATTCTATCTAGAAGGGCTTCATGGCGCTTTATAGTAAGAAACATGTTAAGTGAGATGTTTAACATTTTACAAGACATCGTGTCTCTAACTGCTTACTTGACACACAAGTTTAATGTAGTATACCTCGTGTTGCCAAGATTTGTTTCCTTTTATATTCAATCAAAGAACTGATTTTAAAGCGCATACTCATTTGAAAAATATTTATTCTGAATATGTTTTAGCAAGGTTGGAATTTCTTATTCTTATCGAAGTTAAATTTAATCAAAATTTATTTCAATCATGATTCAAAATCAACATCACGAAGAATGATATTTTGTGCATTTTTGGGTGGTTTCCAGCCGCTTAAACGCCAAAACCGTACTGGACATTTTATGTTGGAAAATTGTTGCTATTTAAAGAGGCGTTCTCATATGTGAAGACTCAAAGCTTGCATCATGAAGTTTGGTGCTTTTGTTTGTTATTGAATCTTTGTGTTTTGTATTGTAATACTATACTTTTAAGTTATCTTTCCAAGTTAGGAGAATGAAGTATTTATGTTGTAACTGTGATTCATCACTTCATATATAATTTTGTTATTGTACAAGCAATTGGAAAAGTGTTTGAGTGAAAGTGAGTGTGCCTCAGATTCAGGGGGAGTCTGAATCGAAGTTCACATGTAGTATTAGAAAAAGAACACTGAATTGGAAGAGTTCATATGAGATCGTAGTGTACTATTGACTACTAAAATTGAATTTCCTTTCGTTGAGTTGATGCCACCTAAAAGTAGACGATATTGCACCGAACTGGGTTAGCAATCATTGTGTTATTTATTCTACACATTTATTTTCTTTGTTTAAGTATTGTTTTGTCATACGCAATTGTTTCAATATTGTGTTTGATATATTATCATCGGCAGAACATAATTTCACTTTAATTAAACAACACGAGACTTTCTTTTGAGTTTAAGGTCACAGAGAACACTTCTCTTGTAGACTTGAAATTCAAATTAGAGAATCTCTTACACTACATCGACAATCGAATAGCGGTTAAGACCGAATATCATTCACCAACAATTGATAATGAAAGAAAGATTAAGTTCAACAAGTTTGAGCTGAATACAAATGCAGATGTATGTGTCATATGGAGTACATTTCATCGTTACACAACTAAGGATCCAATCGAGGTGGATGCAACACTTGCAATATCAACCGTAAATATTTTAAAGATGATGAAACGTCCCAAGACATCTATTAGTAATGGAATGTCATGTTATATTTAACTTAACACATATTTATGCTATGCTATGTGTTATGTATGTGTGGTAACAAATATTTATGTTAAATTATGTTATTTCATATTCTATGTCTTATATTACTAGTACGTTATGTGATTGTGATAACATAGGGAATCTCAATTTTAATATCCGAACAAACTCTTAGACCAAATTGCTTATTTGTTTATGCTCCATCTACGTGATAACAAAAGATGAACAATCTCCAAAATTTAATTTTGTTATGGTGAGTTAAGGTACGTTCGAAATTCAATTTTTAAAATTTAAGAGTAATTTAAAATTTTTGCTGTGGTAAATAAGGAAAACAGTAGATGTAATCAACAATCTCCAAAATAAAATTTGGATTGAAAATATATTAGAGTGCACTATAGGCATTTTTTAAACTTAATATAGGGCCCATTGTTTCAGTTTTTTTAAAAAATAATTTTTATAATGTTACATATTTTCATTTAAAATGTTTTATATTTTTTGAAAAAACTTTAAATAACTTTTTAATTTTTTTTAAAAAAAAAATAGTTTTTTAAATATTTCATCATTTTACTATTTTTTATATTAAAAATATAAAAGATTACTTAAATTTAAAATTATTTTAATCAATTTTTCTTAAAAAATATTTTAAAAATATTTATAATTGAGATTAATTGAAATGTACTATTGGTGTAAAATTATTTTATACTATTATCTAATTAGAATGAATTATTTTGACACATGAGAAGAGAGAAACATGGAAGAAATAATTATTAAAATAGTTTAATTATAATTTAATTTTTTTAATTTTTTAATTTTATAATTGTGTGTCAAAATAATTCGTTCTGATTAGATGACAGTAGTATAAAGTAGTTTTACATTGACCGTGTATTTCAATTAATCTCTTAATAATTTTGACTATATTTTAATCTATATTAGTATTATTTGATGTTAAAATTATTTTTTTTTTCATTTTTTTTTAAATGAATTAATTTTCAAGAAAAAGTTTTTCTAAAAATTATTTTTAAAATAAAGTTTTATTTTTAAAAAATTAAAAGACCATAATCTCTTTGGTTCAAAAAGAACTCATGCGTTTCCATCGAAGCTAAGCCAAGCTTCAGTCACAACCATGCCTGCAATTCCATTTTCATGCTCGTCCCTCATTTTACAACCTCGCTTCAATTACCACATTACCCCTATCTTCCGTTCCCTTTCACTCCAACTCTCTTCTTCTCCGTTCCCTTTCAATGCCAACTCCTCCAGCGTCAGACTCCACTGTGCTCTCTCCCAAGCCGCCGAGACAGAATCTCCGAGCGGCGGTCGGTCAGGTGCTTTATCTCCCGGTCCTCCGGTCGCCGGGAAAGTTCAGAAAATCGACGTGAATCCCCCCAAGGGTACGCGTGATTTCCCGCCTGAAGACATGCGATTGCGCAACTGGCTCTTTAATAATTTCAAAGAGGTATTTGGTTTTTGACTCAAATTGATTAATGTAGTGAAGAGTTAGTTTATGGTTAAGCTTGATTAGTGTTTTTTGCATGTTTTTATGTGGATTGTTTTTATGGTTTATTGTGATGATTAGGTGTCAAGGCTGTATGGATTTGAGGAGATTGATTTTCCGGTTCTTGAGTCGGAGGCATTGTTCACTAGGAAAGCAGGGGAGGAGATTAAGGACCAGGTAACCCTTAGCTATATTGTTTTTGCTTACACTTAGTCTCTTTTAGTCTATGAAGCACGGAAACTCTATACACAACCCGACATTGACACAACAACATCGATAATAATTTGAAAAAATGAATAAATTAAACGTAATCATAAGTGTCGGTGCAGATGTCCAACACCGACAAGGACACGGACACGGACACACATTCTTTCAGAGGTGTCGGTGCTACTTAGCTTTTAGTTCTTCACTCCAAGATAGTGATTGATGCTGGTTTAACATTTGCTTGTTTCGAATTAGTGTGAGTTTAGTTCAACGGGGAGGGGAGGGAATTCAAAAGAAGGGAGGGGGAGAGGAGAGATTTTAAATGTATCATGCTTGGTTAGAGAGGAAGAAGGTAGAACTTTTTTGGGTCAAGTAGTCTAGTGATTGGAATTTGATCCTTTAAAGGTCAATAAGTGGGATGTCGCGAGTTAGAACCGCGCCCGTGTTGTCGGATGTCCCTGCGCAACTACTAACTGAGCTGACTTAACCGGACTGAAGAGGAGGGATTTTAATGCAGGGAAAGTGTAAATTTACTTTTTCCATGGTTTTAATATTGAATGTGACATGAATAAAATTCTATTTAACTCTAATTTATTTACTATAAACACTGGGAGCTAAAATTGGCTTAGGAGATTTTGCTCCCACCCCTTTAAAAAATTGAACAGAAGTTTAAAATAATATCTTCCCTCAATTTCCTTCAAACCAAACGGGCCCTTACATTTGGATTGAAATCATAAAATGTTATATTGTTTGGATTGTTTAAAATACGATGGAATGTATTCCATTTTATTCCATCCAATAATCTGATTTTTCTTTCCCTTTAATTTTTAGAGAATGAAATGGAACAAGTCTTTTTCTCTATGCGATGTCTATCATGAACTACTCTAGGTGTAGAATTTTCTAGGATGATGTTAATAATGTACATATGATAAGCTTGGAGAAGGTCTTTGCTTCTTTGGTATGTAAGTGTAGAGGCATTAGGTTGAAATAGGGTTTCATGAATCATGATGGTCAACAAATATCATCATGGGACAATTTGTTAGTACTAATTCATAAGTTCCTTTGGAGAAGTTCATTTATGTTTGATTGAAAACATTGGTCACTGACCAAGGTATTTCAGTGTTTCTGCAGTTAAGGTTTGTCTTTGTTATTCTGCATGCTACTGATGGACAGATAGCATTGTGAGAACCAGACAATATGTTATGTACAATGAGTCCTATTAGCATTATTCTGTTCTTTGACTCCAATGGGAGTTAACAGCATTTGCTTGAGTATAGCCATGATGTGGCCAAAAGGTATTCTAGAGGTAATCCACTTAGTTCTCCTAATTTAGCAACTATATAATTTAGGGAAATGCTAACGAGTGCCCTAAGGGCGCTCTTTAAGGACCTAAAAGAGTAAGTTTTATGGAAATTTGTGTATTCAATGCATTGAAAATTGAAATGTTTAGCTTTTTCAAAGACTAATTCTTTATTTGGAATTCTTAAAGAGTGGCCTTAGAGCACTTGTTAGCAAGATCCTATAATTTAGGCATGTGAGAAACCCATACATAGATGAATAGTTGATGAGTATGTGTGTGTGAGATGCAGCAATAGTCTTTATGTGATGTTTGTGCTTTGATGGCAATTGTGTGACACAAAAAACATGCTTGAATTGTTCTTCAAAAACATACCATTGTCATAGCAAATTTTTATGAAAAATAAGTTCCATAATAGAGAAGAAAAGAATGTTCATCCAGTGTTGTCAAATATCAATATCAGAAAATATCGGATCGCCAAAAAACCGGTCTGAGAAATATGGGATCGCGTAGGGGACAAATATCGAAAGCCACAAAGTGGTTAAAACAGAAATAAATACTCAAAAAGTTAAAAATTTAAATTGAAAATTTCAAATACAATAACTAAAATTGAAAAGCTACAAATAGAAATTTAAAAGGAATTAAAACTCAAACAGTTAAATAGTTCAAACTAAGAACTACTCTTCTAAGAGCATCTTTAATACAGGCTTTTAATAGTTAAATGTTTTATAGTTAACGATGATTATAAAGAATTTGCATTGGAATGGATATGACATGGCATTTAATTCACTAACTTTTAGTTTCCGGCAATTATATAGCTAACGTATGCTATTTATTTTGAAACATATAATATTATTATTTATATTATTAAAGTCTTGTAATTTTTTGAAAACAACGGGCCCACAAATTTTTTGAACCAATGAGAATTAAAATATAGGGTCAAGTTTTAGTTTTTTATAAGCAACTATCATTAAAGTAAAAACAACTCAAATCAATTATAAATTTTTTAAATCCTACAAATCACTTTGGACCCACAAAAAATATCTTAGTTTACCCACTTAAGATACTCCCACTAAAGATGCTCTAAGTCTAACTAATGATAAAAAATTCTATTCTCCTTTTCCCCTTCTCCAACATAATCATTATTCTCTTTTTCAGATAGTGAGGCATATCCTTTAGCTTCTTCATTTGAATCTTCTAAATCAATATCCTCAAATTCTACTTCAGATTCTTCGATGACAGGATCTTCCATTTCAATCACTTTTTGCTTTCCTTTCCTAGATGAAGAACCAGTCGACTTCTTTGTTTAGATGAAGTGCCAACAACATTAGGGTTGGGAGTTTCTTTTCTCTTTTTACTTGTTTGCCTAGTATATCTTGTAGGCTCTCCAACTCTTGAAGCTCTATAAGTAGCTTCCCAATTAAGGACATCCTCATCATTCTCATCCTCAAAGACTCTTTCATTCCCAACATCAACTTTATAACCATCCATCATCCCAAACAACCACTCATTACATGAGTCTTCTATGTCACCAAGTACTAGGCACCGACTTAGTAGTCCACATTTTCTTTTTTCAATGTTTCCACTAGATTCTACTTTTCCACTTTTTCACCTTACCCTCTTTAAAGTCTCTACTTTTTCACCTCTTCACCTTACCCTCTTTAGTATTTTTAAAAATAATTTATTATAAAAAATAATAATAAAAATATGGCTTCCGATATTCCATTCATAACCGGTATACCAGTATACTGGAAAATCGACGATATCACGAGCATCGCAAAATTGAAATGTTATACCGGCTTTCGTATCGGATAGCCAAAATTCCGATACACAATACCGATATACCGGATATTTAACAACAGAGTTTATCAAGAATTTCTTTTATGAAACATTAAACTATATACATTTATATTGTGCAGCTTTACTGTTTTGAAGACCGAGGAAATCGCCGAGTTGCATTGAGGCCTGAACTTACTCCTTCTTTGGCAAGGCTGGTGATACAGAAAGGGTAAAATTCATTTTGATATGCCCATTTTAGGTTTACCTACATCTGCAGCACATACTCCTTCTTTGGCAAGGCTGGTGATTGTATGTCTGTCTAAAAGTTACAGTTTAACCTATATAAACTACTCATGTTTTCTTGAATGTGAATACTGACTTCTTATCTTTTTGATTGCTTTTTTTTTTTTTTTCCTTTTTCAGGAAGTCCGTATCACTACCATTGAAGTGGTTCACCGTTGGACAATGTTGGCGGTATGAGAGAATGACAAGGGGGCGTCGCCGTGAGCACTACCAGTGGAATATGGATATAATTGGTGTTCCTGGGGTTATGGTAAGTATGTGCTGCCTGGTATACATATCTTTTTTAGGTAATGGGGTCAAATGCTTCATGATTGATCCAAGATTCTTGCTTCGAGATTTTATTAGTTCATAGATGATGTCATTTAATCATGATAAATGTAGCAGTGATGGGTCATATATTCTTTGATAAGGTAATGCTTTTATTTCATTCGTCCACCCTTCTCTTCTAACAGTAGATGAACCTGTTTCTTCTTTTTGTAGTTGAGTCTCAAAGTAATGAAGACGTTCCTCATAATAAGTCATGAAATGAGTTGTCTTTGGATAAACTTGCGACTAGCTCATATTTTCTGCTTTATTTTAAAATTTTGTACTATGGTAGTAATAATATTATTGAATGCATTGGACTCTAATATTTGAAATGGACTTTAACACTATTGCTTATTCATGTTGTAGGCTGAAGCAGAGCTTATATCTTCCATTGTTAGTTTCTTCAAACGAATAGGAATTACAGAATCAGATGTTGGATTTAAGGTTTCTAGTCGAAAGGTGCGGGTTTTATTTTCCTTTTATGAATGATGGACCAAGTTTTCTTCCACAGTGCTGTTTTATTGCATTTCCACTTCTCCACAAGAGTTACATGATCAACGGGTTTGTAATAATTAATTAATATTACTTAAAGATACACCAAATTCCATGTACTCATGTTGCTCCTAAAAGCTGGTAATTTGTTATGTGGTGCTTCTGGTGATTTTTAGTTGAAATTTGAATAGTTATTGCTGACTGTAGATTTAATAGATGTGTGTTAAAAGCAGCAATAGTGGGCTGAAAGTTTATTGCAGTCATATTGTGTTGTCACAGCTTGGTTAAATTGTGCAAGGACTCAGGAGTACTATACATCTATTCCCTATATATGTGGACAATATGACGTTTTTAAAGTCCTTGATATGGTTGTTATTGAGGATTCTTTTTGTCTGCACACTTGCTTTTTTCCATGTAATGATGCAACTATCACATGTTGTGAAGTGTCATAATTTTGTTCACCTCATTTTTTGCTTGTAGTTTGTTTCAACTTTGTAGGTTAGCAGAGTCTGCAATAAATAACATTTAATCATTTCATTTTAACCTATACATGTGATTCTCGGTATGGCTTTTGTTTGACGATACCCTTTCACTCTGTTGTATATCTTTCTTCATTGCAGGTTCTACAAGAAGTATTGAAGTGTTATTCAATACCTGAAAATATGTTTGGCAAAGTCTGCATCATTATTGATAAAGTGAGTTATGCATATTGGTGTTATTTGGGTTTATTTTATAATTGTAGATATGGAGCTCTTAGATTCCTGATCCTTGTCTGTTCCCAAAAAGCAAAGATGATAAGGCGATCATGATAGCCATCCTAAGTGTTTTTTTTTTTGGTAAACTTTTACATGTGAATTTTTAATGGTATTTTTGTTGGTCTACTCCACTAATATTTCATGTCTGTTTCTGTAGCTGCTGAAATTTCATATTCTGACATGAAAATCGTATTTAATAAAAAATGTCATTTTAAATTGTCCAGATTGAGAAAATTCCAGTTGATGAGATAAAGAAAGAGTTGAATGCTGTTGGTCTATCACAGGAGGCTGTCCAGGATCTATTGCAAGTCCTTTCTGTAAAGTCATTGACCGAGTTAGAAGGTTCCCCCTTTACATTAATAAATTTCCAATAGTATAACAAATTTCTTGAAAGTCTTATATTTTGTATTTAATGCGTGAAAAACACAAATAATAGCCAGTGGTAACTTTGTAGCTGAGACTTTGACAGTAGGTTTATGAATATAAGAACATAGATGCGAGCTCATGCCAATTGATGCCAATTTATCATTTCCTAAGTCTTGCATGCTAATGAAGTTATTCCTTTTCGTAGTGAAGGATTGTTATTGTTTTTTCTCTTTTTGATGGAAGCTTCATTTTCCAAAAATATTCTGGACGAAAATTTGAAAACTTGACGAGCTTGATAGAGTATCAGAGCTTGTGTCATTTATGCTTCGGTGGAGTATTTTCTTTGTACTTTTTGTCGCATGTTATACCCCTCGCACTAGATTAAAAAACCCGGTTTCTTTTCATATTTCTTGAAGCCCATTTATGGTGCCATAAAGTTCATGTACTTTCTTCATTAGGTTGTTACAAACAACTTATCTGTATTAGGTTGTTAAAAACAAGTGTATAACTTACATGAAATCTCACTTTGGTTGAATTTAGAGAGGTTAGGAGGCAGCGGGGAAGCAATCGCTGATCTCAAACAGCTATTCTCACTAGCTGAAAAGTTTGGTTACTCCAAATGGCTTCAATTTGATGCATCAGTTGTTCGTGGCCTTGCTTATTACACTGGTGTTGTATTTGAGGTTAGACTTTCTGCACAACTAATACCTAATAGACAGTATTGTTTGCACTAATATAGATAGTTTAGGATCATCTCGGACAACACTCTGGCTTGTGGCTTACCTATATTGCGTAACTTGATACATTTTTCATTGGATCATGACCTGATTTTGTGACAAGTGTGTCAAAAGGTTCATTCAAATATTGAGAAGTTTTTTGGGGCTTGTATTTTCTAATTTATATTCTTTTGGCACACTTAATTGCACCGAACACATGCATGATGAGTTGATGACAGAGTTTGGTAAATAAAGGCTGAAGTCCATGATTAAGTCCATATTCTTGGTTTAAATGAATTTTGACGTAGAAAAGTGCTTTGTAATTTTTCTCAAAATACTGTGAAGTTCATGTAACGTGGAGGCAAAGAGTATGATACATTCAAATTGATGAAGCCAGAGGCTTTGGCATGTAAGATCATTGGTGATAACATTATTTCATATTTCTGAAGGAAGATAAAATGTATATATGGATTTCTTTCCTCTGATTCTGTAATTTTTTCCTTAATGAATTATTAATTTTATATAAAACAAAAAAGGAAAAGAAAGAGTATATACTACTATATAGAGAACCTTGTATACTGCTATTGCTTGATTATAATACTAAAGTTTTACCAGCATTACTTTTTATTCAACCAAGTTGCATTTTTCACCATACTTCCCATTGAAGTTACACTCTACGAAAAACAAATGGCATTGTTGATTGCAGTGGTTCCTATTGTTGTGTTAATTTGTAGCTGTGGTATAAATTGGATGTTGTTTTTTCTTTCCCTCTTTCAAATGATTAAATTCTTCACTAGGGTTTTGACCGAGAAGGAAAGCTACGAGCTATATGTGGTGGTGGCCGATATGATCATTTGTTTTCAACTTTTGGTGCTGAAGACATTCCGGCTTGTGGTTTTGGATTTGGTGATGCAGTCATAGTTGAAGTAAGTCTATAACTTTTCAGTTCCAGAGGAATGAGAAGCCACCATATTAAATACAATACACCCATCTAGTGCTTTTATAAGAATTCCCAGGATCATGAAATTCTCTATTAAAACACAACTTTGGGGTTTACCTTGCATCGGCCTAGTGGGATCTATTAAATTTATGAATACACTCAAGTTGCAAAGGGGTACTTGGGTTTTCCTTCTGCAAATGACTAATGAGTTGTGACTTTGCCTATGTGTATTCTATTCCCTTTGTATATTAACATGATGAGAATATTGGGAAGGTTTCTTTTGTCTACCCAACTTCTGCTCTGCACCTATTTGGGATACACTCTCTCTCTTAAGCTATGAAGCATGGACATTTCTAGGAGTAGGCGTGTCGTGGTGTCCTACACTTGTATGACACCCATACGACACATGTCGGAAAAGGCAAACAAGTGTCAGAATAGTCAAACAAGTGTCCCAAAAAAGTTTTTTTTTCTTCGCTTCGACAATTTTTGAATCAATGTGACACCCATATGACACTCATACAACACATGTTGGACAATTTAGATAAGTGTTTCAAAACAATTTTGTTTTTTGTTTTTTTGCTTCAGAACACATTATATATTTTTTGGACAATTCTCACACACATCTAAAAGAATTAAACATGTATTAAAGTAATATTATTATCGAAGGATTAAAGACATTAATTTTTATTAGAATGTTTTTACTTTTTTTAATAATAGATGGATAAATGAAGGTAAAATACTAGTATATATGCAGCGGTGTTGGTGTCCTATGTTTTGACATTTTTGATGTTAGAGTGTCCTTGTCGTATTCCGGTGTCCGTGCTTCATGTTCATATAGCTCTTAAGTAAAGATTAACTTGCCAAATTTACTGTCTAAAAAACCTTTTCCTGAATTTTTTTTCATATTTCCATTTCATATGAGATTTTTATCACCAGTAAAGGGGATATGCATCTATTAAGATGTTTTAGTTTACTCTGGAAGCCCTTTTCCTACATGCAGTATGATGATCGGGGCACTCAACACTAATATTTGGCTTATTGCATTGAAGTCCGAATTTTATTTGTTAATGTTGATTTTTGCTGCCAACTGATATCTTTATTTTTTAAAGACCAAACGAAAATAATATATATTAAAAACTATTTTAGCACAAGATGTGCGAAGATAGAGCCTACTGATGTCTTAATTTTAGTTTTAGTACTTTTAAGTAGGACTTTGTTTGCCTCCTTTTTCAACTATGCTCAACCTTTCTTCTATGTAACAGTTGCTCAGAGACAAGGGTCTTCTACCAGAGCTCGGCTTGCAAATAGATAACCTTGTTTGTGCCTTGGATGAAGAACTTCAAGGATATGCTGCCACTGCTGCTAACATGCTTAGAGAAAAAGGACAGAGTGTTGACTTGGTTTTGGAAAGCAAACCACTTAAATGGTATAAAATTCTTTCGTCATTTTTGTTTAGTTTATGGTCTATCTTTTGACACGGTTTACATTAGGGCTTTAAGGTATCATGCCATCATTTGATTGGTGTAGCTAACAACACCTAGTGGGAAAAATACTAGGGTGTTAAATTTAAAAAAAAAAAATTCAAAAGAGAGGATGAAGGTCTGAATATGTTTTTTCGATTATAAAGTAGAGGGTATTGACAGTATATATAGGCTAGACATGATCTATCTAAATAAGAAACTATGTGGAAATAGTATATAAAAAATCTGTACAAATCAAATTTATCCTAATTACAGGAAACTACAGAAATAAATTTGTACAGTAATAAAGAGAGTCAAATCGTGCTAACTAGGATAATTATGACACATAACACTTTTTCTTAAATCATACTTGAAAATTCTAAGTCTTCTGATGAGATGTACCCTCTTAATTCTCTTTTAGGGTGTTCAAACGTGCGGCCAGAACAAATGCTGAGCGTCTGATATTGGTAGGAAATTCTGAGTGGCAAAGGGGTATGGTTGTTGTCAAAATTCTCTCCACTGGTGAACAGTACGAGGTTAAATTGGATGATCTAAATTAAATCTGAGTTAAAGTTTTTTGTTTTATGTATTTTGTTTTCATTATTGATATTTCATTTACCTTATTTTTTCCTAGTCCTTCTTGAAGACTTATTTATATATATACTCACATAACCAAGTGCACATAATGCTTATACATTTATCAATCTGCTGCTTCTGTTTATATTTATTTCGAAAAGTGGAGATGCTAATGATTTGGATATGCATTTTATTTTTCCCGATAATTTAAAAATTATTCGGTTAGAATCTTATCATGCTTCCCACAACCCTGGTGAATTATTTATCTTTTTTATAATGTTTTCCCTTTCAAATCAGTAGAAGTGATTGAGGAAAAAAGCATAATGCAACAAGTTGGGTTTGGTACAAATTAACAAGTCTTGGCATGAATCTGCATTATCTTAGAATGTTTGCACACAATTATATTTCATGTTAGTGAAGTAAGATGATTGAAGCATTTTTATTTTGAGAAAACAGATGAAGGAAGCTTCGATATTTCATTAATCAGTTGACATTGACACAAACTATTAAACATGCTAAAGTTGTTCAAGCCATTCTTGGGGTGAATGCTACTGCATGTTTCTCTTAGAAGAGGATGGCAGTCTAAGGGTTTTGGTTGCTACAACTACACAAATTTCTATGGTCATTCAACAGGAAAAGTTGCTGCAGTATTTTTTTGTTACCAACCTATAAAAATTGAAAACTAAACAAAGATAGAAATAAATAAAAAATAATCAGAATGTATTGTCGAAAACTGAAATAAATGTATGAATAGAATTCTCCCCAAGGATTACTCTTAGAATTGTTTCAGGTCTAACTCAACCTTACAAAACCAGCTCGTAAAAGATGATAGCTGCCCAAGCTTTATAAACACTATACACAGGCATATCTAAGCAACATGGGATCAAATTCACTCCTTCACAATTAGGTGACTAGGGGCGGACCGCCATTATGGCAGAACTTCCAACACCTCCTGTCCTCCTCACATTGAGGCCTCAAATAGTTTAGAGCGTGGGAGATGTGGGAAGCCCAACAATAGATTTAGGATAAGCTCGGATACCATCTTAGAATTGTGGTTGAGTTGAGCCTAACACAATCTTACAAAATCGGCTTGTAAGGTGAAGGATGCCTCTAAGCAACGTCGGACTAGGGGCGGACACAATTTCTCCTATATGCACATGATATCCCCTCTAAGTACTTAGCTTCCATAACCGTTTAACTAATTTATTTCTCTTTTTCCTATTCCCTTTTATCCAAAATTGTTGACATATTTGATGTGGCATAACTTTCTTGGATCACCTATGTAATAACAATATTGTATCTAGCGTTTATGTGGGGCTTCATCCCTTTATCTATTTATAAATGCATTTCTATTTTTTGGAGAAACATAGTGAAAGAGTAGGTCTTATGTGTAAAGTTCTTTATTTTTCCTTGTATGAGAAATTAGAGAAGGAGCAAGAGGAAGTTACAACATAGGATATGCCTCTTAGGTAATGTTGGAACTTTTGAGCATCATGTAATTAGAAGTTTAATTTCTAATTTTTTTTAGTACCTTTATTATTTCAATACTTAGGTTTGTTTAGCGCGTGCCTCTATCTTATTGTCGCAAGGTGCTCCCCCATATTTGTTCATAAATATAATATTGCAATGTTGAACAAACAAGACACTGATTTAAGCTGCATATATAAACATGTATTATGTATATATACTTTTATTCTGCCTGGCATGCATGAATATGAAGAGTTCATGCCACCATATGGTTTAGTTCTACTAGGCAGGTAACTTCTAATTACTAACTACTTCCCGATATATGATTATGGGTATATCGCTAATCCAATAGTTTTGCAAACACAATACACAACAGAATGAAATACTAATAGTTCGATTGATGGTTGTCTTTAAGCTTTAGTTGGGTACAATTGTTCCCACTAGCCCAAACCCCATTGTAAAGAAAGCTCCTGCTTGCAACAATAGGTAGATGAAGAAATGATCATGTCCAAAGAAGATATCATAGATTGCACAGTGTAACATATACATCCCCACTATAATCTCCAATGGGTGGATCCTGTTGATGATAGTAAAGGGTCATAAGTATGCATCAGATGAAATATTAAGGAGTGATAATCAAATATTGTAACTGCATTCTTTACCATGCTTTCTAAGGTCTAATACGTTATTCATAAGTCCAAATTATTAGAAAAGAGCAATAAAAGTATTAACTGTATTCTGCATGCTTTTATTTCTCTGTATGTAATTGTTGAATGATGCAATTGGAAATCATTTTGTTGGTTAAATAAACTAATTTATTTAGAGAGACTAGCTACAAAGCAGTTACCTTTCTGTAATTCGAAACCATGGAGTTCTTGATGTTGATGGCTTAACATTGTTCTTCTGTTTCATAGTATTTCCAAGCTTCTCAGTCACAACCCATTCATTGACACGATTTGCTTCCAAGAGTCCTATAATTGCTGCCTTAGTTCGATGGAGTGACATGACATTCTCAAAGAGTATCCAGAATACTAGAAGATGCATGGATCTGTCCCATGTATAAGTCATTGAAGAATAATCAAAATAACCGAGGGAAACTGAATAAATTTTAGATTGAGGGAAACCAATTACCTTGGGGTGCAGACTGCATTTAGAATTGTAATGGTTGCTGGGATATATATGGCAATCTGCTTTTTGAGATTGACTTCTGGAACTACCACACAAGCTGGTATGACTATGCAGTAAAAGAAAAACGTGACCCAATGTGCAACTATTTTCCTCACAAAGAAGAAAGCATAGATAAGATGGAGTCTCTTCAGAAGTGATACCCTCTGGATGGTACACGTGATACAAATTTCAATCAGTGTAATAGAGTAAATATTGATTCTACAAGGAATTGAATTTGGTTTCAACTGTTGATGAGGAAATTAAATTTTGCATACTTGGCAAAAGAGGATTTCCTTTGTCATTTTCTTAAGGAGATTAGCTGGACCACAAGACCACCTGTGCTGCTGAAATCTGTATGCTTTAAATGTGCTTGGTAGTTCATTTTTGACCTAGTAAGCAACAATTTTCCCCCTCATGAGAATTCTGTGGTTTATGGAGTATTCAAGCTTAATCACTATATTATATCAAAGATATTATTCAGTTATGGATAACTTACTGTTACATCACCCACAAAAACAAATTCCCAACCCCTCAGGCTTGCCCTAACTGCAAGGTCCATATCTTCCACAGTGGTTCGATCTTTCCATCCTCCAGCATCTTTTATTGCTTGAATCCGCCAAATTCCTGCTGTCCCTGCATGTTTTAAAGCAAGCTTATATAAGTTGATATGAAAATGTGCTTGTTCGAATGTAATTCCACGGGCATCTTGACTTACCATTAAATCCAAAGAATGAGTATGTTGAGGAGCCTACTTCCTGTTCGACACTAAAATGATAATCGAGTGACATTTCTTGAAGTCGTGTCATCATACATTCCTCTGAGTTAACTGTGTAGACATGAAAGCAGTGTTATTGGACTCATTAGTAAGGCATGTTGTCACACTGATGTGGCTGCAACAACTTACCAAATTTCCATCTTGCCTGAACCAAACCCAACTTAGGGTTCTCAAGAAGGTAAGGAATTGTCTTCCAAAGAAAATCTGGATCTGGTTGGAAATCTGCATCAAATATTGCTACAAACTCACAATCCTCAACATATTCCTTCTCTAAACCCTCTTTTAGGGCACCTGCCTTGTAACCATTGCGATTTGTCCTGGTTACATACTTGACATTCACACCTTTTTGCATCCATTTTTGACACTCGTATTCAACCAATTCCTGCATGTTATGAAAAGACATGTTATTATAACTTTTCACATTCATAGACACATAAACATATGGGATCTTCCATGGTGAAGCTTTACTGGATTAATCAGATACCCTTAAGACTTGATTTGTTGAGTCATCAAGAACTTGAACTATGAGTCTGTCAGTTGGCCAAGAAAGCCCACAGACTGCTCCAATTGAAAGCTTGTAGACCTGGAAGAAGAAATTGAATGTTCTTAGCCAAGGTAATTATCTCTATTCTTTAATGTTAACTGAAATTACTTTATCAATCTTAATGGACAGTCTTTATTTTGTCAAAAGTAACCAATTTGTGTTCTTTGACTTCAGCATGTAGCTATGATTTATGATGTGTACGATTGCATAAGTGCTAAAATATATTAAAATAATTAATAGTGACAATCTAAAAGGACCTATTTAGTGAAGGATATCTAAAAGAAACTAGACTTTGCTGGTGACCCTAAATAGTGCAAAAACTAACCAACCCCCACCCCCAAATGAACGAATAAATATAACTTATATAAGTGATTAGGAGTAAAATAACTAATTATTCAGGCCACAATGAATGTTGAAAAACACAATATCTAGTTGATTTCTTCCCAATTATAGTCAACATTAGTTCTTACTACTATTTACAAATGATAAAATGACGTGCTTAGATTTGGTATGGTTGTTCAGAATTATAACCAATAGTGACTGATCATCTAACTTGCACTTTATTTTGGATTTCAGATATCGTAGATTAAATGGTAAATATGTTTAGATACCAAATAAAACATTAAAATTTTCTGTATGTGCTATCATTTTTAATTACAAAGCAAAGTTACCTCTTTCTCATTATACATAGGTATTTGGATCAACACCATGGGGTATCTTTTGTTTCTCTCTATGGCCTGTTTCATGGCATCCAACTTGTACTTGGTGTATTTTTTTATCCTCAACACCTTGACAATCAAAATTACGGCTGCCATGCTTACTCTCTCAACAAATAGCATGACTGACATAATTGAGCATAGTATGACTGCTAGTTTTAGGAGTGGTATTATCACCGGGGCTCTTATGGATTGCCAGGCATATCTTAGACTGCTTGAAGCATGTCCTGGAGTCCTGGCTTCAGGCTCCTCAAAGATTAGGCTTCTCATGGTGTTTAGGGTTGTAGCTATAAGGGATAGAGAGCCTGAAGAAGAGCCTCGAGATAAAGCCACTTTGGGGCTGAGGCAATGTTGATGGTAGTGATCAAGTGTGTGTGTGTGTGTGTGTGTGTGATGTGTAGGAGATGAAACCTTGGCTTTAAATAGGAAGAACACGTGTGGTAGGAAGATGCGGACATGCATTCGGGTTTAGGTTTAACAAAGTAGTGTAATGAGTGAGCTATTAAGGAGATATCTATCTTAACTTTAGCGAGGCACGTAATTCATGCAAACTACGGTGTTGCAACGTAGCTAAATTTGATAGTCGGATATGTCTTTTCCTGCCGACAATTGAAACAACTGTTCTATTGTCGATTATTTTTATCGGAGCCATAATTGCTTATATCATTTGATCAAACTTTTGGGATCCTGTTGTAATGTTAGTAACTATATTGGGCAAAGGCTAACAAGATAAAGCTGTCATTTTTGTGCCTTACTAATTTTTAGATGCAATTGTTTTTTTCTTAAATTCAGTGTGTTTAGGAGCATATCATTCATAAAAACGTCATAGATTTGCTTTTATGGTCAATTTTCTTTAGAAATGCTGGTAAATTTAAAGTACTTTATAATTCATCATAGACTGCATTAAACTCTATAATTAATGATCTTGCCTAAATGGTTTTGCTAAAATTTTAATTGATTATGAAGTTTGTTGTTGGTTGGTGAACCACACCGGCATGCTGCCAATAGAAATAACTAACCATAAGACATGGCTGTTATTGTATAGTTTTATTACTACACCATGAACAGCTATTTACCATTCCTACATTTCCTAAATTTACGTGTTAGTGTTATTATCAAAATTTTTTTATTACTATTATCAATATGTTAGAAATGTTCACATTGTTATAAGAATTGTTTTTTATTTAAAAAATGTGTATTTATTCCCTACTATGGAGAACATGTTTGCACATTATCATTAGGTTATAGTATTTTTATTTTTGTGAAAACCTTTTAATACATTAGGCCACCTTTTTTTCTTTTCATTTTTGTTCTTGGGAAGATATCTTGTTTCTCTTTATACTTGGTTCATTTCCTTCTCAATAATTAGTTTTTATATAGAAAACAGAGGTTATAAAAAGATTTGAGAGTGAAGTATAAGAATGATGGGGACAATCCCTTGTTGGAAAAGTTTGACTCAGCTGTTGAAAAGTAGGACAACTCTAAAATTTGCAATTTAGTGAGGCCAGTTTGTAGTTGAAGATATTCCATGGAAGTTGCCAAAATAATCTATTTTCCTTTTTTAGATATTTTAAAGATTGAATTTTCTTTTCGGAAACTCCAAATTATAGCTCGTTTATTTGTGTTCTGATTTGATAATAATTGAGGCAGATTACACTCAGAAATAATCACTACTGTACCACATGCATTTTCGTTTGGATTTTCAAATATCCACTCTTTAAACTATGTGTGAACTCAAACTCAAAATAAATAAAATTTTGCAGTTCAGTTTTATGAGTAAAATGTATGCTACAAGTAATGATGAAAATAGGAGGAATGTACGTTTGCATGGACGCTTCCTTCGTTTTGGTAAAATCTTTTGACTTCTATTATATGTTTCGTGTTAGTTACAAAAGTAGTGAAGCTTCTAAATATTTTGGTTTACAATAGTACATATGTAATGTAACACTTGTATATATATGTCTGTCATTTGTGAAATGCCGGCCGTCGAACAAAAAATATAGGCAGAATGTTATTGGTCTGTCATTATTGAGCAGTAATGTTGTCGGGTTTGGAATTTAGTGCAACCCTAGCACAAACTCTTAATTCAAACTTGATTAACACAAGATTTATTGTTGTAAGGAGTAACTGAGTCGATTCAATTTCTTATATTTCTATGCAACAGTCTTGATTAATTTTTGTTACCGTGGGTACACTATTATGAGTTTCATGAGATTTTATTAGGTCTGTATCTTGATTATGCCTTCATTCTGATTTGATTATTTGGTTTCAATCATTAGATTTTGTATTGGAAGAGCAGAAAAGATTATCCTATATATATATATATATATATATATATATATATATATATATATATATATATATATATATATATATATATATATATATATATATATATATATATATATATATATATATATATATATATATATATATATATATATATATATATATATATATATATATATATATATATATATATATATGATAAATTATATCATGAATACAACCTTATCAAATTTATCATATATATATATATATATATATATATATATATATATATATATATATATATATATATATATATATATATATATATATATATATATATATATATATATATATATATATATATATATATATATATATATATATATATATATATATATATATATATATATATATATATGTTGCAGAGAGAATCAGATATTAAACTATTATATTAATTTGAATCACAAATTATGAAGTTCATCATCGAACTTTGATTTATCCAAAAATTTGATAAATCCTAATCATGATATATATGTCTCGCGGAGAGAATCAGATATTAAGCTATTGTATTAACTTGAATTACAAATTATGAAGTTCACCATCGAACTTTGATTTATCCAAAGGAAAGGGTAAAGATCGAAGAAAACTCTAAGTGTGCTATGTAACAAAACAACTAGAGATCTAAGATTTAGGGGTTGGTTATATCTAGGAAAGGTGTTAGCATCCTAAGTATTTATAGTACTCTACAGGAATCTCTTGTTAGTATTTGTGTTATGCTAAGGTGTGCTTGCTAAGGGAATTATGCTAAGGTAAAGACCTATGGTATATACACTAAGTATGCTTGTCAAGACATCACATCTCATGCCTATGTATTTTGACGAGAATGAAATCAGAGCATTCATAGTTCCCTTAGTTAGGGGTGAGGAACTCTTAACTGTAGTCAAGGTTCCAATGGAGGAAGTAAGTGTTCATAACCATGAAACTTACATGAAGTGTGGCGACTCCAATCCTAAGGCTAGGATGAAAGAGAAGGTACGAGTCCATGTTAGAACACTCACATAGAGTACGGTGACTCTAATTCTAGGGTTAGGATAAACGGGAAGGTAAACTAGCAAGTTAGGCTAAGTCATGACATTACAATCAATAGGAATGACCATTTTCTTTGGAATGGGGTAAAAGTAAATAAGGGACAAAGAGATGAAACTTAAGTATCAAGTGAAAGAGGAATAACAATATATGCAGCAAATGCTCAGGAAAGTCAAAAGCTCCAAAGACAGGTCATCAAAATCAGGATTTAATCATAGGCAAAAGCATCGAGAATTAAATTCAAAATTGAACATCAGGAATGAACTAAAATGAAAATGTGAAAATGTCATGATTAATTTAAGAATTAACTCAAAAATAAAATCTAACTAAACCATATTTAAACCAAAATCTAACTAAAACTAATTAATTAAAATTAACTAACTAAAATCTAATTAAAAAAACTAAAAAAAGCTTAAAAAAAGCTAATGAACTAATTCTAACTAACTAAATGCTAATAACAAACTAATTACCTAATTCTAATAAAAAAATTAATTAAAACACTAATTAACTAGGCTAATGAAAGGTGCAGGCTGAAAGAAACTAATGGGCCAGGAATTTGTATGGGCTAAACCTATGATTTTCGTCTAGTGGTGCATCGAGTAAATTGGGTGAGCAAGAAGAAAAAACACATGGGCCTAGAGCCCGATCCATAATTGATAGGGAAATGTTAGTAGAAAGAAAGAAAAAAACCTAATTCAAAAACAAGTCACAGCCGTTTCTCTTCCTTCTCTCAAACACAAAACACACGCCATTAAAAGGAAATGATTTAAAAAAAACATAACTATGTTCAGAAACAACAATTCAAACACATTTTCACCTCCCCTTTTAATCACAGTCATCTTCTCTCTCGCGAATGGCTTCTTCTTTTCTGCGGCAATTTCCTCTTCTTTCTCCCTCGCGTCTCGGCTTCACACGTTGCTTTCTTCTCCTTCGCGGTGCCGCTGAAAAATGGTGGAGGTGTCTCGCGGTTTTCACAGTTTTCCTATCTCTCTCTCTCGCGGCGGTGATCGTTGCGATTAAAATGAACTGGGAAGATGATGGAACTAATGCCGAGTCTTGTTGTGGTTGTATCGCGATTTGCTTTTTTGATCGCCGAGAAATTGTTGTTGTCGGCAATGTTTGGAAGACAACGCAGAACTGTGGTCCAAGATGTGTGGAAGTTCTGAGAGCTTTCATGCAAAAGCTTTAATGGTTGGAGTTGTGTGTTTGGGGATGTTGAAAGTTGTCACAGAGGTTGAAGAGTGGGGAAAAGTATTGTCACCATTAAGGTTGAGTTGAGGTTCTGAGGTGACGAAAATGAAGAAGGTTGTGGTGGTAGATGAGGATAAGGATGGGGTGTTGCATCTCTTTGTTGGTTTACTCCTCTTTGTGCTATTGTTGTGGAATCAAAAGGAAAAAAAATTAAAGAATCTCGTTCAGGTTTTTTGTAACTCTTTTCTCCAATGTTGTTTTTTTCATTGATTCATGTTCCCTCCCTTTCTACTATTTCTCTTCTCCTTCTTGCCTTAGATTAAACAGGTTTTACAAGTTGACATTGACTCAGAACTGTTGTACTTAATGTTGATGATACAATATAGGTTTTGGTCTTGCAACCCGTGGCGTCGCTTTTCTCTCAGCATCATAAGCCTGTTTTTTTGTTTTGGCTTAGAGTAGTAGCAGAGTTGCAAGAAGTGTCTAACGTTGCAGGTTTGGATTTTTGCTGGAAATATGAAAGGGCGCAGGGTTTTGGCATGTAGTATGCAGGTCCTTTTGCATTTTGGTGTAAAGTTTGAAGCAGTGAGGTATAAAGCAGGGTGTAGAAGCTTGTTTTCGGAGTAGCAACAAATATCAGAAAACATGCTTGCTTGGTTGTGCAAAAATTTGGATAATGAATTTTCACCAATTTGGGATGGTTTTGTTAGGTTGTCTGCAGA